CTGGGACTGGGTCAGAGCATCTCCAAAACTGCTGCTCGTGTAATGTTCTGATCTGCAGTGGTCAGGACGTACCAAAAGTGATCCAAGGAAGGAAAAAACAGTGAATCAGTAACAGGGCCATAGGCGGCCAAGGCTCACTGAGCAAAGTCTGGCAAGTGTAGTCTGATCCACAAGAAGCTGAAGCTCAGATTGAAAGGTGTCAGGATACACAGTGCACTGCAGTTTGTTGAGTATGGGTCTGGGCAGCTGCAGACCGATCCAGGTGCACATGCTGACCCGCATCCACAGCCAAAAGTGCCTACAATGGGCACATGAGCATTAGAACTGGACCACAGAGCAATGGAAGAAGGTGGCCTGGTCTGATAAATTCTAAAAATAGTTTGTGGAACACAGTAACAAGTTTGAGGTGTTGACTTAGCCTCCAAATTCATCAGATCTCAATCCAATTGAGCATCTGTGGGATATGCTGGAAAAACAATTCTGTTCCATTGAGGTCCCACCTCGCAACTTACAGGACTTAAAGGGTTTGCTGATGGCTTGGTGCCAGATAACACAACATACCTTCAGAGATTTAAGGGAAATCAAGCCTCAGTGGATCATGGATGGTGGGCCAATAATATGGCTAATGAGTGTAGATGATGAAATAAATGAAAAAACATAGGCTAAGAAAGATTTGCACTGCACACTTTAAAATAGCTTGGAGAAAAATTGAGGCTCCATACACATCTAGGTCCAGGATCTAAGAAGGTTTTTACAGTGACACAGTTTTGTATAATACAAAAACATAAGAAAAAAAAGAAAACCCCAAGGCAAAAAACAAGCATTTAGTTTTAGGAACTGATTGCATGTTGCAGTTGCAGATACTGAAAAAACATTGCATAAGCCGGCCATAGATTGATTGAAATTTGGCTGGGTCAGCAGAGACCGGACGAATTTTGATCCATGTATGGGCAGGAGGATGGTTGTACCAAAGTCAATCCATCGATCAACTTTGGTACAACCAACCTGTCAGGTTTATTTCTTCGATCACTCGATCATTGTATTCTGACAGTGGGGAAACCTCCCACTGTTAGAATACAAAAGCTCCATAGGAGGGACTCCGCCATTAACACTGACTGTGTTGATGGAGGAATCAAGCTATTTTTTTTTTTCCTGCAACCACGGATGCAGCAAAAAAAATTCCTTAAGGCATGGCCTTCTTTAGGAATGGGAAATTCCTCCTGCTGCTGCTAAGATGAACCATTATTCTATTATTGTAAAGACTGCAAGATACCCCATTGTCTCCAAAGACTAAATCCCTAGAGCCTTATAGAAAGAAATATCTCCGATAATGCAGAAAGAGGTAAAACTCTTTATCTCCAATACTGTATATCTTCACCTTGGAAGTATTATAGGACCGGCCACAGTCACCTTAATAACTGAATCCTGTGATTGAACCCCCTACCAGCTTCCCCCAAAGTCTTAAGTGGGCCATACATGGATTGAAATTTGTCTCGTTCACCAGGTACCAACTAAATTTCGATTCATGTATGGGAAAGGCTGGCTGTACAGAAGCTGATCTGTCGATTAACTTCTGTATAACCAGCCTGTCAGATTTTCCCTGCTTAATCAGCACCACCGGGTATAGCTGGCAGATTGCCCCACCCATAACAATCTGCTGGTTGAACAAAAAAAATTAAAAAAAGAAATCTATGGGCTGCTTTATACTCATCTGTCCATGCTACTGCTAGATCCACATATGGTCATCTCTGCATCTCCCAGCTGTTCCCCTACTTGTTCTGCATATGTACGGAAAATCCCATTCATTCCATAACAATTTCCTCCATCATGCAAGGGCGGATTTGAGGGTACCCATAGGCCACACAGTATGATTTTGGCAGGAACATGGAAAGACGAATATAAGACTCTGGTGAATGCTGGGTGAGTAAATTAACCCACCTGCCACCAAGGTAAGCCTTACTTCAGCATCAGTGGAAGGTTTTACACACACTTCCAGCGGTGTATAACTCTGACATGTCAACTGTTGGCTTTCAGATGGAAGCGACTGGGCAGCTTCACAGCCACCCAATCATTTCCACGGATCCCCAGGAGTGTGGCCTGTCCTCCCTGCCATATCCCACACTCTACTATCCCATCTGCAAGCCCAGAACCCACATGTCAGAGGTAACGCCTCGTAGAGGGAAGGAAGACCAGCAAAGTTCCCTAGGTAGTAAGAACCTGGAAGCAAAGTGTCTTAAGCCAAGAAAAGTGTTGTCACTTTCTTTGGCTGCTGTGACTAAGATCTAATAGAGCATGATTTCCACTCCAATAGTCTCAGTGGAGTGCAGCGGAGCAATCAGGGGTCAAGTAAACCTCTGATGTCTCAATAATGATCACATACGGGGCTACTGGTCGCCTATGTGATAGCAGTAAAGTTTAGTGAAAAAAAAAAAAGTGTAACAAATTAAAGTTATATCCAAGTAGTTCACCCCCACCCATATTTAAACACTTGCTTTGGAGACATCTATGTACAAAAACAGAGACTTCATTGCATGTTATATATTAGTGTGTCCAGCAGAGTGAGATCAATAATTCTAGGGCGATTATTTATGGGTCACTCCAGACTGATGGCCTGTAAGGGCTTTTAAAGCAATGCCAATAGACAATATTGTGTAGCAGAGTTTGTTACCGTTATACAGGCACACAATTTTAAAGCTTGGCATACTGGGTAGCTGCTTATTTGGTGCAACCTAAACATTTGCCCCCAAAAATATTTGGCAATATATTGCATTTGTGTGCACTGTTTTTTTACTGAAAATAAGCACTTGACAACAGTTGCGCTAATGTTGTATGGCATAAAAAAAAATAGGAAAATACCAACAATATTTTTTGCCAGCATCTCTGCTTTCAGGAAGTATATGTGTTGGGGGTTTAACTAATCTACAGGCCTAAGACTCCATGTACACTGCAGCTGATAAACTCACGTTTAGGAGATTTCTGCGTTTTTTTTTTAGCAGCCCCTGAACTCTCCCTAATGTTTTCCTATGTGTCCATGTACACTATGTCCTTTACAGTCGTTTACAGGCAGTTGAGTTTACAGTCATTTTTTTGAATGCACCAAACTTGTGTTCAGGAGTAGATTTTATCAGCGTTTCAAACCCTTGTAAATGCGGCTAAGTGCGTTTATAAGCGTTTGGGAAATGTTTTAACTCTTCCATTCCAGATGCAGTCCAGAGCCTTTTTTCATCATGAAAAATGCATGCAAGGTGTTTTTTCCCAGTACTCAAATGGACCTGGTACACCATAGTTTGAGGTTTCACATGAAAGAAAATATGTTAGACACTGCTGTAATAATTTCTAAACAGAAATGAGCTGGAACACATCCAAACACCACAAAAAAAAAAAAAAAAAAAAAAAAAAAAGACAGCTAATCTCAACAAATACTGCTCTCTCTGCTTCTGCTCTATTTCTCCCAAAATGACTGAAATAGGTAATTTTTTACTGTTTTTCAGTGCATTCTGGGCATTTTGGAAGGTCTCCTGAGGTTATCTTTAAAAAACGCTTCTAAACGCAAATGCTCATAAACGCAGTATGCAAACGCGGCTAAACAGACGTTTTTTTAACCCACGTTTTCCAGCAGTCAGTTTCCATCATTCAGAAGTGTCCCGTGTACATGGACCCTAAAATGTGCATTTTAACACGTGTGCAAAAAATGCAAGAACCGCTCTGGCAGTGAAAAGGTTAAAAGATAACATTATGAATGGAAAAAATACGTCCCTTAACCACTTCCTGTCCGGACACTTTTACCCCCTTCCTGTCCAGGGCAATTTTCAGCTTTCAGTGCTATCACACTTTGAATGACAATTGTGCGGTCATGCAACACTGTACCCATATGAATTTTTTAGCAATTTTTTGAGACAGATAAAGCTTTATTTTGGTGGTATTTATTTAATGAAAGTCCAAAAATTTTGAAAAAAAGTGTTTTTCTTATAAAACTTTGCAAATAAATAATCTTTCATCATAAATCTTGGCCAAAATGTATTCCGTTATCTTTTTAGTAAAAAAAAAAATAAATAATAAGCCAAATTAGTTTCTAACCAAAAATTATAATTTTTAAACATTTTTTTACATACTGTCACCCTAGCAGTACAGTGTCACCATGGTGACACTGTACTACTTGTGGGGGGTGATGAAGATTTTTTTTTTTTTTACAGTGATTGCTTTTACACCCATATAGGATGTAAAAGCAATCATTTCTCTTTCTCTCTGTCTGCATTCTTGCAGCCAATGAGAACTACTGAGTGAGCTGTGATTGGTCACAGCTTGTCACATGGTACAAGGCTGTTGTGAATAGCCTTGTACCATGTGATCTCTGTGATCATTCACAGATTTCACACGTAGTAAGCAATGATGTCACAAGTGACATCTTGCTTACTACTTTGCATGTGATCACTGATTGGCCAATCAGTGATCACATGATCGGGACCTCGTACAGAGGTCCCGTCCGACGATCGGTGTTTCACTGTGTCCGGAGGACACAGCGGGCACCGGATCGCGGTGAAATGGTGGGTGCTGTTTATGAACGGCAACCCGCCCCTGGAGTGCCACCGTCCTGCCGTATAAACAGCAGGCGGACGGCAAGTGGAGTTCCAGTCAGTTTTGTGTTTATTAAATGTCAGCAGCTATGCGCATTCTCATTGGTCCGGCAGTCTTACGGGACCTGTGAAGGATCCCAGGGTACTGCGGGAGGAAGGAGGGGGCCGAACTTCTGGCTCACTTCGCTGCAGCATACTGAGCCGGAAGTGGGAGCGGGTATCTGTCAAAAACAGGTATCTGCTCTCCCCCAAAAGGTGCCAAACATGGCTGTGGAGGGGGGGAGGCGGCAAATAAGTGGCGCTTTCGCTTTTGAGTGGAACTCCGCTTTAAATCTGTTGGCTCATCTTTCTAGGTTGACACATAAATGCACAGTGTGTTGTAGCTCTGCATTTAGATGAGGCATACAGCACAATATATAGTAGTACCTTTGATTAATTCCGGTTTGTAGGCCTTTCTCAGGTGCTCCAAGAAGTCCTTGTAGAATGATTCAGCATGCTCGGAAGGCATGGCCATGTGATAGTCGGGCTTATTTCCTTTTAAGACGCACTGCAAAGTAAACTGACTGACGCACAGCACTTCATACTGCTTGTCCATAACACTCTTACTCCAATGTTTGCCACTGTCATCCGAAAATATCCGAAGGTTCAGAATCTTTCTCACCCTGCAAGGACAAGCAGCAAAGTGTAAGACGTGATGCTCTAGGTAGAAAAACATTTAATAAAAGAAGTCCTCTAGATATTTTCAAAACTTAACCACTGCAGCTCTTGTACATTTATACCCATAATGAACCAGAAAAAATGTCCACTATAGGTCTGTGGAAATGTGGTCATCACTTACGACAGAGAAATGCATACACTTTGCTGGTGGGGTGGCGGTGGGGGCACACTAGGCTTTCTTTTGACAATGTTATTTTGTAAAAATTATTATTCTCTTTACGATCTATAGACAAAAATATTGTTCTTTTAAGTTTTGCATCTTTTTTTAAATGCAACACTGGAAAATAAAAATAGAATGTAAAACAAGAAAAAAAATGTAAATATTAATCATAAAAAATAGAAAATAAAATCAGCAGAAACATAAAAGCTAAAAGGGAGAAGGGGAGAAAGGAATTAAAGTGCTACAAAACCAAGGACCCTGCATATCTGGTCTCCCACAGTACACAGAACATGGAAATGCAATTATTTTAGTAAATATAAACTGCTAAATACCTTTTCTCATCAGCAGTTAGAGCAGTCTCGTGACTATCAGTGTCCAGCCAAGCACTGGTTAAAGCTTGTAGGAGGCATTTTCATTTTGTTCTAGGAGGATGCAGGACTACTGGCCTCTGTCTGGACAGTGCTGATTGGCCCTGTGCTAATCACATGCACCCTCCCAAAGGAAAAAAAAAACCCTCTCTGGCAATAAACACCAAACTGGACATGTGCAGGATGACTCCACACGATATGTGGGGCACTGGAAGAAAGGGAGGATCAGAGAAGTCAGGATCAAGCAGCGTTTTTACACAATGCGGAGGATTAACCCCGTAGGTTCCACAGTGAGTATAACAAGCATGCTTTACTGCATATACAGACTGATTTTTCTGTTGTGGGTTTAGTAGCACTTTAATTATAACCAAGTAGGGTTAATAGGGGGTAATAAAAGGAATAACTTTTTATTAGTTTGTAAGGTTTTTTTGACTAAAGTCATATGCACCTTAACATGATTCTAGACCTAATTTTTGTTTATTTAAAATAACAAACATGTCATACTTACCTGATCTGTGCAATGGTGCTGCACAGAGCAGCTCTGATCCTCCTCTTCTCAGGCCTCCTGCCGCCACTCCTGGCTCCCCCCCCCGCCAAGTGCCCCCATAGCAAGCCTCTTGATATGTATCCACAGACACAATGAGGGTGGCTCGACCCCGCCCCCATTCCCACCTCACTGGCAATGATTGAAAGCAGCAGGAGCCAATGGCTCCCTCTGCTGCCACTGAGCCTATGAGGAGGGAGAGAGTGGAGAGAACCTCTGCTCTCATGCACGGCACTGGATTGCGTTTGGGCTCAGGGAAGTATAAAGGAGGAGCTGCACGCAGAAGGTTTTTTATCTTAGTCCATAGAATGTATTAAGGTACAAAAAGCCTTCTACCTTTGGAACCACTTTAAAGAATATGTAAACCCAACATTTCATATTCCTGATGTGTGTCTGCTGTACCATGTACTTGTGTGAAAAAGTATTGTTTTCCTTGTATTGCTTCCTTTGTGTGAAATTCCTGGAGTTCATGCCAGTCTCTCTGCTTTCCTATTAAAAACTGACCACACAAGACGGTAGAGCACACCATGGTCAGTTTTTTGGGTGTACTGGAGCTCAGCCAGCTCTCCTCCAATGATCAGATTTCTGCTAACAGGCTCCCACAACCCCCCGCACAGCCATTCACTGGGAAGACCAATTTGCTGCTGTTTCTCACCCCCCAGCTCTTTATGCAGTTGAGAACAGAGGGTATGTGATCACTTATAAAAAAGGGGGGGAAAGGGGTATTTATAATGTTTTTGATGTATACACAAATGTTTTACCTTTCATTTTGATTTTAAATTGTATGGATTGTTGGGTTTACATATACTTTAAGGGTTACATACTGTATAAATGAAAAAGTGAATAAAGTATACCATGTTGAAGCACTGAATTTTTTTTCTTTTTTAGGATTTATCCCCTTTTCTTTATAATCTGTAAATTGACATCCTGCCAATCATGTGTGGTCACAAGCACAAGCTATTCACACTGGCATTCTGAAATATACTGTATGCTTAACCACTTCCATACCGGGCATTTTCCAGGTTTCAGCGCTCTCACACTTTGAATGACAATTGCGCGGTCATACAACATTGTACCCAAACTAAAATGTTATCATTTTCTTCACACAACTAGAGCTTTCTTTTGGTGGTATTTAATCACCACTGGGGTTTTTATTTTTTGCTAAATTAACAAAAAAAGACTGAAAATTTTGAAAAAAAAAAAAAAACACGTTTTCTTTGTTTCTGTTATAAAAGTTTGCAAATAAATAATTGTTCTTCATAAATTTAGGCCGAGATGTATTCTGCTACATGTCTTTGGTGAAAATAACCCAAATTAGGATGTATTTTTTAGTTTGTAGGAAAGTTATAGAGTTCACAAACTATGGTATAAATCTGAATATTGATCAATCCTGAAGTACTGACAGCCAATCTAATTTCTTGAGGTCCAAGAATGTCAGAACAGTACAGATATCCCCCAAATGACCCCTTTTTGCAAAGCAGACAGTCCGACGTACTTCGTAAGAGGAATGGCGAGTTTTCTGCAGTTGTATTTTTTTTGTCATAAATTTTCCGGAAAATGAAAAAATTAAAAAAATTATTGTCACTATTTTTTTTTTTTTTTACATACGTCACCAGTGCAGTACAGCGTCATCATATAACTGGCATGGTGGTGATCAGGGACACTGAATGGTGACAGTATGAAAAAAATATATATATATTTTTTTTTTTATTTTTAATTTTTTTTCTTTTTTTTAAGATTTGTTTTTCATATTTCACTATGACCAAAGTAGCACAATGTTACCATAGTAACATTGTACTACTTTGGGGAAGTGATCAGTATTTTTTTTTTTACACAATTTGCTTATAGCAAAGAATTACTTTGCTATAAGCAAGCATTTACCTGAATGACATCGATTCATTCAGGGTTTTTTTTTTTTCTTTTTTGTGCTTAGCTGTGATTTGGCCACAGCTAATCACATGACATGTGATCGCTGTGACCATTCACAGCTAGACACTAGTATACAATGGATGGCATGAATGAAGCCATCCATTGTATACAACGGTCATGTGACCTGCTGTGATTGGTCACAGCAAGTCACATGGTACCGGCAATGGGGGCCAGTACTCAGATCTGTCATCGGCCGTGTCCGAGGTACATGGCCGGTGACAGATCGCTCCGCTGTGTGGCTCTGCAAGCGTGCAAACTGCGCATGCCCGGGAGTACTCCATATGGCGTCCACCCAGAAATCTACAGCATTTTTCCAGCCGCCAAACAGCTACTGGCTGGGTGGCTAATGGTTAAATTTTATTTTTTTTTTTATTTATTTCAGGTACTTATATAGCGCCGTCGATTTACGCAGCGCTTTACATATATGTTGTACGTTCACATCGGTCCCTAATCCTCAAGGGGCGTCCAATCTAAGGTTGTTACTAAACCCACAACAGTAAAATCAGTCTGTATATGTAGTAAAGCATGCTTGTTATGCTCACTGTGGAACCTAAGGGGTTAATCCTCTGAATTGTGTAAAAAGGTTGTTTGAACCTATCTTCTCTGATCCTCCCCTTCTTTTGTTGTCCCAAATCCATCTGCCTTAATTAGAGCAGCAGTGGTAAGTCTGCACATGCTATGTTTGGTGTGTGTTGTTTTCTTTTTGTTTTGTTTTTTGGATGGTGCATGTGATTGTCACAGGGCTAATCAGCACTGTCCAGACAGAGGGTCAGGGGACAGTCAGAGGCGAATGAAAATTCCTCCTACAAGATTACCAGTGTTCGGCCAGACACTGATAGAAGTCACAAGACTGCTCTATATTCTGATGAGAAAAGGTATTTATCAGTTTATATTTACTAAAATAATTGCATTTCCATGTTGTGTGTACTGTGGGAGACCAGATATAGTGAATGCAGGGTCCGGGGTTCAGTAACACTTACACGAAAAATATTTACTTAACATTTTAAAAAATAGTACCATTATTTTTATTCCTGAAAAAAAGAATTAAGGAAATGTATGCAAACTATACTTTTGTATGCTTAATTTTTTAATGTTCTCACAGTGAAACCTCCTACAACTGTGATGATAGCATGCATACAACACAGAGGTGCAGGATTAAAGCTGAAATTCGGGGACAAAAATTCTCATTTATATCTATTCCTCAATAGTCACAAAGAATATAAATCTACTTTGTGTGCACCAAATGGCTTTGCAAACCCAAATATGACCTTGTACAAGAAGCAGTACCATCATCGCTGTGGTTTACACAGCCCATGCAGAGCACAGAGCTGTGGGATGGGCCCTGCAGGTTCCACCCACTACAAGCTGCCTGTAGAAACTACAGGAGGGGGTGGAGACAAGACTAGTCAACCTGCGCAAGAGAACAGAGCAACAGTGAGTGGTCTTTATTACAGGAAGCTCCTGCACAGAGGCAATGTTTCACACTGGATTACTGCACAGATCTGAAAGAAATACACAAAGCACACCAAGATTCAAGGAGGAATTACACATCTCTTGTAGTCAGACAAGACTTGCTTATGCTGCAGTTCAGCTTTAACCTCCTTAGTGGTATTCCCGAGTGTAGCTCGGGGTAAAATGTCAGTACCAAGAGTGGTAACCCCGAGCTACACTCGGGCTTACCATGCGGCGTTGCTCAGGGAGTCCCTGCAGCACTTACCTTGTCCTTCGCTCCCAGGATGTGTCCCCTGCAGCGTTCCCGGCCATCTCCTCCGGCCGATGCCGGCATCCGGCTTCTGTGTTCCGGTCCCTGTGACGTCGGGACGTACGGGCGCCAGAACCGGCGGCAAATTTGAAATTTTTAAAGAATTTCATTTTTTTTAAAATGATTATTACATAGTAAAACATTGCTGTTTCAATGCATTTCACATATATTTTGTCCCTACTGCTTTGCCCTGTGCCCTGCCTGCATTTTGACTGTTCTTTCTGCCTGGAAACTTAGAAAAGTCCATGGCGTCCAAAAAGCGTCCCTTTACGTCAAAAGCGGTTTTAGACCAGCTAGAGAACAGCGATAGTAAATCAGAACCACTTGCAGAATTGAGTGATAATGATTTGTGGGGAAATTCGCCATCAGACACTGAAAATGATTTTGCGACTTTGCTCAGTGATGGGCAAATTTGCCTCTGTATTTCAAATTTCAGTGTTTTTGGTTTGATTTATATTATTGAATTAAATTTATTATTATTATATTATTATTTTTTATGATTATTTATTAAATTATAATTTATGATTTCGGGTTTCAAATTTTATCCTACCCGGGATGTTTACTAGACTCTTGTTCGGACAGATTTCAGTGAGTTATTCCTAAAAAATTACAGCCTACAATAAAAAACTACATATTTCCATGCAAAAAAATGTACCGCTTTCAGCAAAAAAATAATCATACCGCCGAGGAGGTTAAAGTGAAGTTAAAGTGTCATGAAATAAAATATCTGATGAAATTTTACATGAGCTCACAATCATCCAGAGACAGCCATTCTCTAATCCAAGTAATTTTAGTACTGAAGCAGCAAAGTTCAAATTACTCACTGAGAATTAGAATGTGACCCCAGCCACAATGGCTGCTTCCATGAGACCTAATCCAGAAAAAACTCTCCAGCTTCTTTATTAATATAAAACACACATCCACATACAAGAGAGACTGAAAACAGTGCACAACTTACATATAATCAATATCCTTTTGAGTGTCTTCTACTGAAATACCCAGCAACACACAGATGCCCCGTCCAATGGTGCTAACCTGTTCTTCTCCCACTGTAAATGTAAAGATACCCAGTTAGTAGACTGATGGGAAGCTTAGGGTGTATGCAGTTATAGGAAATAGCAAAGCCATATCTAAACCAAACAAACAAAAATGTAAATCGATTGCAGCTTACCAGTATTACAATTATGTCTATATAACTTTCTATGTAAAGTGACACAAAACAATCCTTATTCTCTAAAACTTAAAAAAAAAAAACAACCCAAACGCAAACATTTATTATATTGCATCTTACCAATTCTTAGATGTGATGGCTGCATTAGTTTACTTTTTTAGGCTTTCTTTCTTCTATTTTCAGGTGATCCAGCCAGTAAGTCTGTTATTTTTCAAAAGAACAAGCTCTCCTCCAAATATATCAGTTTACAGGGATAAAACAAACCTGTTACCACTGACAGGGGTGCTCATCTTTTATTTATTTTCAGTCTTTAAATTTCATATAAAACCTTTATCCCAACTCTGTAACTGCTTATAAAGTGTTAGCTGGAGTTTGTTAGTTCAATTTGTTAGTGTATTTAAATCTGCTAGTACACCTAACACTGCCCTCCCCCTAGAGTGACAATGTTGCTGTAGGCACCTCTAGTTCAGAGATCTCCCTGTGTTTCTGAGTCCCTGTCCTGAGCAGTTTGCCTACTTGACATGAATGAATGCAAAGTGTTCTCACCCTGTTGGACGAAGTGAAGGGGTGATGTGGTGACATCACACTCTTTACCTCTTCCAATCAAAAAACACTTTGCATTCATTCAGACAATGCAAAGTATTCTCTGAATAGCACCTGTGTCAAGCAGCCGACCTCCTGTGTTCAGAATGCAGCAGGCCAGCCAATCAGCATGGGTCTCAGAAGCAAGTGGAGTTCAGTGGAGTAGCAGTGTGCACTTCAATCATTTCCAGCTCCCATTGGCCACAGTCTAGTCCCCCTAAAGTCTGAAGGACCGTAAATTGGCCCTTTGTTTATAAAGTTTGGAGACCCCTAGTCTAGGGGGACAAGAAGAAGAGGATTTACTTACCCAGTCCTCCGCTCCTCCCTACAACTATACCAATCCCTGCAGGGTCTTCTCCCCCATGCTCCAGTGGTCTAGGATACTGGCATCATCAAGACCAAAACAGGGTCCACAGCAGTGCACTGGACATGAATGATGCCAAGGGACAGTCCACTGCTGGATTGTGGGGGAATGCCATCTGCTTGGGAAGCCGAGGATCAGGTAAGTAAAATGGTTTCTCCTCTCCCCTAGGCTAAACAAGCTATTAACCTTTGCACTGTGGGCATAATGTTTGAGTTGCCCAGAGCTAGTCTTTATTATTCCTGTCTGTATCCAGTCTGACAGCTGGAATTTATGTTAAAGCTAAACTCCAGGAAAAGTAAAAATTCTCCTTTACAGTGGGGCTGTGCCTGCATTGCATGGGTTAATGTTTGTTTAGGTCTACTGGACTGCAGCGTCTTCTCCCCTACACTATGACAGTTGAATGTCCTCTGACATCATTAAGACTAATACAGGGGCCATAGCCCTCTACTGGATGTGAGGACTCCAAGGAACATTCCACCTCCAAAGCATAGGGGAGGTGTTGTGTGGCAGAAGGGTGGATAAATGAAACTGCTCATGAGAAAAGTGAGGGATCAGCCTAGAACTACATGGGAGGAGCTTGTGAATGATCTCAAGGCAGTTGGGACCATAGTCACCAAACCACTGGTAACACAATACGCCGCCATGGATTGGCAAGGTCCCCCTCCTCAAGAAGAAACATGTACAGGCCTGTCTGAAGTTTGCCAATGAACATCTAAATTCTAAGTGATTCAGAGAAGGACTGGGAGAAACTGTTGTGGTCAGATGAGATGGCAGACAGTCTGACACTAACTGACACTTTGTAGGGCCCAGTGACACTAATACAGTGATCAGTGGTAAAAATATATACTGTCACCATATTAATGACACTGGCTGGGAAGGGGTTAAACATCTAGGGCGATCAAAAGGTTACCTGTGTGCCTAGCCAGTGTTTTTGTGTACACAGTGTGCTGCTTTTACTAGGCAACCTGCTAGATTTATCAGACAGTCAGTAAGTACAATGCTAGGTGGATTCAAACATGTTTAGGACACACATACACTATATTGCCAAAAGTATTGGTACTCCTGCCTTTACACATACGTGAACTTTATTGGCATCCCAGTCTTAGTCCGTAGAGTTCAATATTGAGTTGGCCCACCCTTTGCAGCTATAACAGCTTCAACTCTTCTGGGAAGGCTGTCCACAAGGTTTAGGAGTGTGTCTATGGGAATGTTTGACCATTCTTCAAGAAGCGCATTTGTGAGGTCAGGCACTGATGTCGGATGAGAAGGCCTGGCTCTCACTCTCCACTGTAATTCATCCCAAAGGTCAGGACTCTGTGCTGGCCAGTCAAGTTCCTCCACCCCAAACTCGCTCATTCATGTCTTTATGGACCTTACTTTGTGCACTGGTGTGCAGTCATGTTGGAACAGGAAGGGGATATCCCCAAACTGTTCCCACAAAGTTGGGAGCATGAAATTGTCCAAAATGTCTTGGTATGCTGACGCCTTTAGAGAGTTCCCTTCACTGGAACTAAGGGGCCAAGCCCAACCTAAAAAATAACAACCCCACACCATAATCCCCCCTCCACCAAACTTTACACTTGGCACACAGTGCAGTCAGGCAAGTACCGTTCTCCTGGCAACCTCTAAACCCAGGTTCTCCTACCAGAGAAGTGTGACCCATTCCATGAAGCTCTCTACACACTGTTGTTGTGCCAATCTGAAGGCCACATGAAGTTTGGAGGTCTTTAGCTATTGACTCTGTCATTTTACTTTGCCTACCACTTCGTGGCTGAGTTGCTATTGTCCCCAGTCTTTAGCCATTAACTCTGCAGACAGTTGGCGACTTCTCTGCACTGTGCGCTTCAGCATGCGCTGACCCCACTCTGTCATTTTACGTGGTCTACCACTTGGTGGCTGAGTTGATGTTGTTCCCAGTTGCTTCCACTTTGTTATAACACCACTAACAGTTGACCGTGGAATATTTAGTAGTAAGGAAATTTCATGGATGGACTTATTGCACAGGTGGCAACCTATCACAGTACCACGCTTGAATTCACTGAGCTCCTGAGAGCGACCCATTCTTTCACAAATGTTTGTAGAAGCAGTCTGTATGCCTAGATGCTTGATTTTATACACCTGTGGCCATGGAGGGGATTGGAACACCTGAATCTAATGATTGGGGGGGGGGGGGGGGGGGGGGGGGGAGTCCCAGTACTTTTGGCAATATAGCGTATATCTATACAAAAATATGAAAAGAAATGAGGAGACTCGATGGACCACTTGGTCTTTTACCTGCCGTTGCTCTTTCTACAACAGTCCATTAATATGCCACACATGGGGAAGTGAACTCCAAACAATAGTTGGATGACATTATTATTATACAGGATTTATATAGCGCCAACAGTTTGCTCAGCGCTTTACAATATAACGGGAGACAATACAGCAACAATACAGTTCAATACAAGAGGGTTAGGAGGGCCCTGCTCCTTGGAGCTTATGTTAGGAAGTTATCCATCGTATCTCTACCTTGCAAACTTATTATCTGATCGATGGAAATACAATCAAATGCATGCCCAGGGATGAGCAGTTTGGGTTCGATTTTGAACCCACCAGGCAGAGGCATTCCCCAACCCACAGCCGCACAATTTCATAACCCCTGCATAAATGCAGTTGCAGGCAGGAAATGCTTCCGCCACCTACGATTGGTTGTCTGCAGTGACAGCTGCCTGGCAAGGTAGATCCAGTGGATTCAATACCGTGTCCATACAGCTCATCTCTATTAATGACCAAAGCATCTCAGTGCGGTTCAAGTGCTGCAAAAAACCTGATCATTTTCCGCTCTGGCCGATTGATTCTGTATGATCAAACTGGACATTGATTGGATGATAAAATCTAAGTGTGTATGGCCAACATTAGATCTACCAGCAGGAATGCAGTGCCAGGGACTGCCTGCTTGGATACAAGATGGTTGAGGTAGGTGTGCTCATATTCCATATATCTGGTGGAGATGGCAGCATGTATTGTGAGCTCTATGTATACCTCCTGGGATGTAACAATGTATATTACTGCAGGGCTTGAAATTTCCACTCCACTGCTTGCCAACGGCGAGTGGAAATTATGGTGGGGGCGAGTGTGTCCCCCAGGGCCGTCTTGCTGAGCAGGCTCGGAGCTCAAGCTGGATCTGTCATTGGCACTGGGAGCCATCAGACTGTCAATAGCTGAGTGCAGTGAAAGCAAAGCAAGGAGTGTGTGCTGTGCTCTCTGCCTCCCCCTAGAGTGCAGTTCCCGGATCTGTGAGTGAACAACGAAGTACTGCAACTTTTTATGGGGGGGGGGGGGGTACGTGTGTGTCTGTGTATGCATGTACAATTGTACATGTGTCTGTGTGTATGTACATGTGTGTATCTGTACGTGTGTGTGTGTGTGTGTATGAACATGTATGTGTACGTGTGTGTGTGTATGTACATACATGTGTCTGTGTATGTACATGTGTCTGTGTGTATGTACAAGTGTCTGTACATGTATCTATGTGTATGCATGTCTGTACGTGCCATACATGTGTCTGTATGTGTATACATATGTCTCTGTGAGTGTGTACATGTCTGTGTGTGTGTACAGGTGTCTGTTTGTTGGTGTCAAGTAACTCTAAGGCCTGGCTAGTAGCTCAAGACTTGAAATGTTAAGCCCTGATGCTAGGACTGCACGTAGAGAAGTGTGGGATCCAATGCACTGGGCCAGGCTCCTCCACCATCCACACTGCTGTGTACAGAGGTGGAGGCCAGTCCTGGGGAGCAGTGTGCTGTCTACTCTCCGGCCTCCCTCCTCCATGCCTGTGCTGTCTACTCTCCGGCCTCCCTCCTCCATGCCTGTGCTGTCTGCTCTCCGGCCTCCCTCCTCCATGCCTGTGCTGTCTGCTCTCCGGCCTCCCTCCTCCATGCCTGTGCTGTCTGCTCTCCGGCCTCCCTCCCTCCTCCATGCCTGTGCTGTCTGCTCTCCGGCCTCCCTCCCTCCTCCATGCCTGTGCTGTCTGCTCTCCCAGCCTCCCTCCTCCATGCCTGTGCTGTCTGCTCTCCAGGCTCCATGCCTGTGCTGTCTGCTCTCCAGCCTCCATGCCTGTGCTGTCTGCTCTCCAGCCTCCATGCCTGTGCTGTCTGCTCTCCAGCCTCCATGCCTGTGCTGTCTGCTCTCCAGCCTCCATGCCTGTGCTGTCTGCTCTCCAGCCTCCATGCCTGTGCTGTCTGCTCTCCAGCCTCCATGCCTGTGCTGTCTGCTCTCCAGCCTCCATGCCTGTGCTGTCTGCTCTCCAGCCTCCATGCCTGTGCTGTCTGCTCTCCAGCCTCCATGCCTGTGCTGTCTGCTCTCCAGCCTCCCTCCCTCCTCCATGCCTGTGCTGTCTGCTCTCCGGCCTCCCTCCCTCCTCCATGCCTGTGCTGTCTGCTCTCCGGCCTCCCTCCTCCATGCCTGTGCTGTCTGCCTCCCTCCTCTCCGGCCTCTCCTCCTCCATGCCTGTGCTGTCTGCTCTCCGGCCTCCATGCCTGTGCTGTCTGCTCTCCAGCCTCCCTCCCTCCTCCTCCATGCCTGTGCTGTCTGCTCTCCAGCCTCCCTCCCTCCTCCTCCATGCCTGCGCTGTCTGCTCTCCAGCCTGCCTCCCTCCCTCCTCCTCCATGCCTGTGCTGTCTGCTCTCCAGCCTCCCTCCCTCCTCCTCCATGCCTGTGCTGGGGACGGTGTATGGGCAGGAAGTTCCCGGATGAGCCGGTTCCTGGTGCACTGTACAGGGAGGAGACTGTCATCATTTCCCCTCCTCTCCACACCGCCCAGCCTGTCACCAGCAGCCGCTCTCCTGTGCGCTCAGCCCGGCCACTTACCGGTCACACTGGCCTGAGTCACCCTTTGGATAATAGCTCTCATTGTGCTCAGCCGGCCCGGGGTACACAAGCAGCCGCTCTCCGCCACCGACTCTGCTGCTCCTTCCTTCCTAGAATGGACTGCGGGCTGTGTGCGCGCCCTCTACTACTGGCTATAATTAATAGCAGCAAGTCATGGACTGTACACTGTGATCCTAGGAGCTGACACTCCACTCATTAGTTTGACCACCTGCGTCCCAAGCCTGTTCTGACATTTCTCTCCTGTATGTAAAAATCACCTTTTTTATAGAAAATTACTAAATTAAAAAATACACCCCAAACCATTATATATGTTTTTTAAAGTGGAAGTAAACCCACTTCGGTAACGTTTACCTACAGGTAAGGCTTATTAAAGGAAATATTTCCTAAACGTGTGCAATTTAGGAGATATTTACTGTAGGAGCGCCGCTGATGTCACCAGCGCACGCACACTGCGCTCTCAGTGGATGGTGTGAGAGTGCCGTGGCTAAAACTTTCTTTTGCGCATGTGTGATGCCATTGCTAGGGTCTATTTTATTTATGGGCAGCACAGTGGCTTGATGGTTAGCACTTCCACCTGGCAGTATTAGGGTCTCTGGTTTGAATCTCAGCCATGGCACCACCTGCCTGGAGTTTGTATGTTCTCCCTGTGACTGCTGCTGGGTTTCTTCCAGGTACTCCAGTTTCCTCCCACACTCCAAAGACATGCTGGTAGGTTAATTGGCTCTTGTATAAATTGTCACTAGTATGTGTATGTATGAATGTAAATTATGGACCTTAGACTGTACACACCTTGAGGTTTAGGGACTGATGTGAATATACAATATGTATGTAAAGTGCTGCATAAATTGATGGCGCTATATAAGTACCTGAAATAAATATTTATTTCAGGTTCTTATATAGCACTGTCAATCTTACACAGCGCTTTACATATATATATTGTACATTCACATCAGTCCCTAACCCTCAAGGGGTGTACAATCTAAGGTCCCTAACTCACATTCATACATACACATACTAGTGACAATTTAGACAGGAGCCAATTAACCTACCAGCATGTCTTTGGAGTTTGGGAGGAAACCGGAGTACCCGGAGGAAACCCACAAAGGCACAGGGAGAATATGCAAACTCCAGGCAGGTGGTGCCATGGTTGGGATGTGAACCAGCGACCCTAGTACTGCCAGGTGGAAGTGCTAACCATCAAGCCACTGTGCTGACCATTGCCACCTCATTCCTTTAAACCCAAACACGTATTACTTACACAAATTCTGAGACCCATTTAATGCAGATAAGATACTAAATTAGTTTAATTACCACTCTAATCAGCCACAGAACCTGTATAATTAAACACTTACCCGCCACAGTATATCAGATATACTGCTACACGATTGCTCAAAATCACGTATATATACGTGATTCTGCAGCTCCGGGTAGGGGCCACTTGTGCCCCCTACCCGCGCCGCCATTCACGGCCACGGGTGTCAATCACCGGGTCCCGGCTGGTGATTACCCGCTGGCACCCAGTGATCACCAGCAATCACCGACAGGGAGGAGGGCTGCTTTGTTTACCAACATTCCTCCTCCCTGTCAGTTTGAGCACACTGCTCTGGATAGCTGAGCTAAGCTATCCAGAGCAGTGTGCTTACAGTGAAAAACACCCCCCCCCCGCCCCCTAGTAAAACACTCCCATCACACAGTTAACCCTTTGATTGCCCCTCATGGTAACCCCTTCCTGCCCAGTGCCATTAGTACAGTGTCAGTGCTTTTTGTTAGCACTGATCGCTGTATTGGTGTCACTGGGGATGTCAGTGACACCAAATCAGTTCCCCCCAGTGTCAGAATGCCTACCGCAGTCCTGTAGTCCCACTATAAGTTGCTGATCGCCGCCCTTAAGTTGCTGATTGCCGCGATTATTAGTAGTAAAAAAAAAAAATGCCAGTATCTATACCACCATTTGTAAATGCTATAACTTTCACGTGAACCAATTCATTTACACATATTGGGATTTTTTTTTAGCAGAGACATGTCGCAGAATACATTTTGGCCTAAATTTATGACGAATTTTGATTTTTAAATTTTTTTACTGGACACGTTTAGTAGCAAAAAGTGCAAAATATTGTTTTTTTTCTCAAAATTGTCAGTCTTTTTTTTTATAGCACAAAAAATGCATAGGAGATCACATACCACTGAAAGAAAGCTCAATTTGTGGGAAAAAAAGGACGTAAATT